TAGGTTGTTTCTGGCTTTTTACCATTTTAAATTTTACAATAAATAGCCATGTATATACATCTTTTCACATTTTATTATTTTATATTTGAGATAGATTCCTAGAGAAGAGGTAAACATAAATAATATGTAATTTTGCTAAATAGTGCCAAATTGGCTTCCACAGCATTTGTAACATTTTACATTCTTTTTAGTAATGCATATGTATTTATTTCCCCTTAGCTTTTCCAACTGAGTATGTGGACAAGCTCTTGCTTTTCTGTCAATTTGATAAATAAGATAAATATATCGATGTGATATTAATTTGCATTTCTCTAACTCTGAGCTATTCTCTAAATATGAGCCTCATATATTTGAGAGTCCTAAACATATGAGGCCCATTGTATTTTCTTTTCTAGAAACTATCTGTTCATATCCCTAGACTTTTTTAAATAGCATTGTAGACCTTCTAATTTTGCTTAAGAAGTTATATTTACCATGCATTTTTAACCTTTATGTAGTCAAATTTATTATTTTCCTTCTTGCTTTAAGATTTTGAGTCCAAGGAGACTTTTCTTCACTTCTAGGTTATAGAGAAATTCACAAATGTTTGTACTTGTGTAATTTCATTTTTTTACACACTTAAATTTCTATTTTTTTGGAATTTTCATCAGTTTGGGGTATAAGAAATAAATTCCATTTTTATTATTTTTCCTATTACTGTCCAGTTATTTTTGCACCATTTATTAAAATACCCATATTCCCCACTTGATTTGTGACTCAATTTTCATTGAGTACTACAAACAATTGTGTATATTTCTGGATTCTTCATTCTTTTTTTGCTGATCTATCTGGCTAGTCATATGCCAAGAGCACACTGTTTAATTACAGAGGTCTTAGAAAATGTTTATATCTGGTTGGGTTAGCAACTCCCTTTCCTCTTCCTTTTCAAGTGAACCTAGATTTTAGGTTTTTTCATTAGATTCTACTTCAAGTAGATGTCACAAAACCAGAATGTTTAGATTCTTCTAGAAGGGAAAATAAGTAAGATTGTGAATGAATTTGATGGCAAAACAGGGTCAAATATAATTTCATTTTTAGTTTTTGTTTTAAGAAGAACCAAGCATAATCAGTTCATGTAGCCTTTTTTCCCCTTCTATAGGTCCCCTTGGAGAAGGGATGTATTATCTTAATTTAGCAATCAACATTTTCATCCTATGGATCACTTAATTAGCTCTGATAGAATACAGAGAGAGATGCTTTGTGTTTGAAAACATTTAAAGAATTAATACTTATTGATGATAACACACTTCTAATACCTGGTGGTAAAGCCCTGGGTGTTTCTGTATAAGATCCAAGGCATGGTGACACGGTTGCTATATTGGTATGTATTGGTGTGTGTGTGTGTGTGTGTGTGTGTCTCTGTGTGTGTGTGTACACATTCTTCACTAGAATACAGTGGGTTCAAAGTTTATATTGTCAGTTTCAAAAAAAAAAAAAATCCAGTTCTTAACATGGTAATGCAAAAGGAGAAAACAATAATTATAATGTGTGTAGATCCTAAAGCCTGACAGTTTTAGCTGAAAAGGAATTTGCTAAGGGAACTATTTGAGCAAAATATTGGTTTTTTCAGATTGAGATTTACTGTCATGGATGATCCTGTTTTCAAAAGCTTAATTGTACTTCAGTAAAATAGCTGATTGATATAACTATTTTTGTAATAAGTGGGAGGAAGCATCCTTGTAGTTTAAAAAATTACCAATGACTAGAATACTTGATGAGAAAAAAAATACATCTCCTATTATTTTGAATTTAATGTTGAAACACAGAAGGGTGTCATAATTTTGGCATTTACCAAAGTCTTTATGATACTAAAAAGTGATTATTTTGTGTTTTGTTTTGTTTTTTAAAGTAGGCTCTGGGGTGCCTGAGTGGCTCAGTTGGTTAAGCTTCTGACTCTTGGTTTTGGCTCAGGTCATGATCTCACGGTGGTCAGAAGGAGCCCTCTGTCAGGCTCCACACTCAGCGTGGAGTCTGCTTGAGATTCTCTCTCTCACTCTCCCTCTGCCTCTTCCTCTGCTGATGTTTTCTCTTTTTCTATAATAAATAAATAAATTCTTTAAAAACAAAAACAAAGTAGGCTCCATGCCCAATGTGGGGCTCAAACTCACAACCCCAAGGTTAAGAGTCACAGGTTCTATCGACTGAGCCACCCAAGCACTCCTAGAAACTGATTAAAGTGCCCTTACCATGTGCCAAGCACTGCATAGGTCACTATGGCTATATGTCAAAGTAAGCTCTGGAGAAAGGGAGAGACAGGTAACAAGCGAGAGTGCAGTATGGTGATGCAGCAGACTTGCAGCATAGGCGGAGGCAGACTGTGCTTAGGGATGTAGGGAGGAGCTCAAAGTAGAGTGAACGTCTGACTTGAAACCTTTACTTTTAAAATTCCTTGCACTTAAGAGGAATTGTTAACTTTAATCATCTGGTGCAGTTCTAGTGAGACTTTTATTTATTTAATTGTGAGATTATTTCTTTTTTCTCAAAGTGACACTCATCTCTTTCTTAGACCAACTATTGTAACACCAGCAGGTGACACTTTTTCTTTCAAAAGGAACTCATCTACCCCTGCCTAATCTGCTCCCTTTCTTCTCTTTCTTATTTCAGTTAACAGAGTCACCATTTATGACATGGTCTAAACAAGACATCTCAGATGGAACCTACAGCTTATCCCCCTTTGCCCCCAAATTCAAAGGTCTTGAAATCTTGCTGATTTCCTCTGAAATATTTGTTCAATATGTCCTCTGCTTTTCAACTCCAGTGGCTACTGTTTTAGACTCTTACCTTTCATCTGTATTATTACAACCCATTGAACTGTTCACCCTATTTTCATTGTCTTCAAAATTACCAATTTAAATTTTAGTTAGGGTCAAGTCATTCCACAGACTGAACTCTTTTGCACCAGTTCCAGTAATGTCCTTCAAAACCTGGCAAATCTCCAGCCACTTCACGACACTTCATGATGACTTCCACCTACCTTGCTGCATTTCCAATCTTAGCACTGTGTTTTGCTCACCCTGAATGACTTTGCTATTCACTGCACATGCTGTATATCTTCAGGTCATCATGACTTTTAAACATTCTCTTCTATGCCTGAAATACCACTTTCTTATAATTTTGCCCCTTAAATTGCTCTTCTTTAAGTCAAACTAAAAGATTTTCCGTATTTTTCTCTACTCTCTTTCCTGACTGCCCTCCACAAATAAATTAGAATATAAATCTTTATATTCTCATCCATGTACTCTGTACATACACATGCCACATTTGTCACACTGGATTATGATTTATGGTATAGATCTAGCTCCTTGTGAAGACTGAAGTCTTTGAAGAGAAAGACTGGCATGCGTGTGAACGCATGCATACACACACACAAACACACACTTAAAGATATAGATATATTATTGTTCCCTTGCACTTTGTACTTAGCCAAGTGCTTAGTACATAGTAAGGGCTTAAGAGAATGCTTTAAAATGAACCTTAATCTTGTTGGCTATAGGAAAATATGTTAAGGGCCATATCATTTATGGTTCCCACGGGAAACAGAGACATACTTGGATGAAATTCTAATGAAAATTTAATGAGAAGACTATTTACAAAGTATAAATAAACCAGTAAGGGGTGTTTTGAACCCAAGTACTAGTAAGAGAAGAAGCTAATACCACCATGGTTCCGAAGGAACAGGGGAGGAAATAAGGTTGTTAACAGAGTCTAGTGAAAGCTGGAGATGTGTAAGGACCTCCAGTGGTAGCTGCAAAGGAATGTGACCCCTGCTAAACTATGGCCCCAAAGCAGGGTGGCAGTGAAGGAAGATATTCCTGATCTTCCTGTTGGTGGCTTATATTGGCTGGATCCAATCAGAAGTCAGAGGGCAGGAGAACTCAGGTGATGGTGACTGTGTGGGTCAGTCCCTGGGATACGAAAAACAGAGCCAGGAGGGGCAGAGAACTGAATAGGTGGTGCAATCAGAGAATAGCTGGAACAAATAACTTGCTCAAACCTTAATATTAAATGAATGGGTGTCAATCAGTCTATGGAGCAAGATGCTTTTAATCTAAACTTTCAGAAACTAAGTTGTCTGAGAACATATACCATAATTGAAGTCTCTGAATATTTCCCTTATCTGTATCTTGATGACAACAACAACAAAAATGACAATAGCAACGGTAAAAATTACCACTTACTATGTGCAGATGCTGAGCTAAATACTTCACATATTTTGTTGTTTATTCCTCATAACAGTCTTCAGTTGGCAAATGTGGAACTGTTGCAGAAATCAAGTCATTTGCAAAAAGTGTAACTAGTTAGTGGTGGAGCTGACTCCAAAGCCTTTGAATTTTTAAACTATGCTGGTGCAGGAAGACACAGTAGTCCGTTCCATACAAAGCCATAGCAACCTCTAATAGAACTGTGCAAGGTGAAATTGTCCCCAGAGGCAACCTGCATGAAATTGTGGTGAATAGTGTCTATGCACAAGAGACCCAGGGAGAAGGCTGCTATTTTTGATTTAAGTACAAAGATAGGTTATTTTACTTTCAATGAGGAAAAACAAACATAAATGCTAATCAAATCTACTGAAGCATCGGGTTACCTGGGAGGGTTTTAATTAGAAAATCTCAGTGCCTTTGCCTAATGAAACGATAGTACTATAATTGAATATAGAGACCTGTTGGTAATTAAATGATAATGTAGAATAAATCCTTCTTTTACCAAGTTTAATTCTCTTTTACATTATGCATTAGTGGAGCAACATCCCTAATATATTAGCACATAGCACGTATAGGACACTTTCCCTACTTTATCCATTGAAAACTGTATTAAGTACCATGGAATAGTGGCCTTCTTTCCCTTTTTTCTTACTCATGAGCTGGAACTAGGTAGGTGTGTTTTGTCTTACTGATTAGAATAACCAAAGCAAAAGCCGATGCATTTGCTCGTCTTACTTCTTCGGCTCCTGTGGACACGTGTTTTGTTTTTATAGAGGAGATGAGGTCACTGCTTCATCTGGGTCCCTTTGGAGGAGAAGAGGGATCGAGAGACTGGAGAGAAGCTTGTGATGGTAGGTCGTTCATGCAGGACTTGGGGTGGCTTTGTGACAACCAAGACACCAAAAAACAGGAGCCCTAAGTCGCTGGGCAGGGCTCTGCACCATGCTTACATCCCTGCCTTGTTTCTGGTCCTGAGCAGCCTGCTTACTCAAGGTCCCAGTTAAAAATTTTTTATAATAAACTTCTGAGTCATTGGCACTTTCAGTTCTTGGGAGGGCTGGAAGAAACTGTTGGATTTACTGCTTAATTATTTTTCCAGAAAGTAAAAGGCATGGATCATTGCTTAGGATGGCTGCCAGACAGCCGAACAGATGTTTTGCCCAGCTTTTGAAGTTTACAGGGGGACATTTTGAGACTTACGCTATTTGTTTGCAGTCCAGTCTATGCTTTTCCACTTAGCTTCTTATTAGTTTGTTATTACACAGCATGTTTACTTCCATGTTTTATTAAAAAACTGATAGATTGTTCATTGTGAAAGATGTTGGATTTATTAATTTCAATATCTAGTTTCTGTTCTTCTAAAAATAATAATTTAAAGGGAAAAAAGACTTTTGTTTAAAGGGTATTATTATACTTTTTATTCTCAGTATAGTGCCCCATCAAAAGCTTGACACATTTTAAAGAAGATGAATAATTCAAATATTCTGGACTGATGAAAGTACCATTTCTTGATCTCTGCCTTTGTCAAATCATTTTCATTTAATATTCTTTCATAATTCTTCCTTCACTTTGGGGGGTATAGATACCATGTCTTATGTCTCCTTCGGTGGCTGTTACTTGAATTTTTAATTGAACACCTTTCCTTTTACAAGGATTTGTTTGGAAAGCTGGAACAGGGAATGCCTACTCATCTTCCACTACTTGTCATCCTTCCTTATCCTGTCCGTGTGAGTAATTCCATCTCTCTGCCTTTCTCCCTCACAGAAAATGTATCCTTCCTCTAGCATTTTGTTCCCTAATCATTTCGTAGTCTAGTCTAGTTGGATCCTCAAATAGTAAGAAAATCATTTCAGTATTGAAATCATTTTAAACTAAAATGTAGACATATTGCTAAGTTTTCAAAATGGGCTCCTGCATCTGACAGATTATTTGAACTGCATTGTTATTTTGGCCATGCAGGGGACCACATTTGGAAGCAGTGGAGGAGAGAGTTATCATTATGACAAGCGATCAGAAAAACAAACCACAGTGTATGGTACATCCTACAGGAAGATGCTCTAAAACATGGGGCAACTTACTAAGAAGATACATGGCTACATGACTGTATCTACAATAGCCTGAAGTTGCTTTTAAAGGGAAAGTAAATCATTTTTCTTCTTAAAGTAAAAATAAATCATTTAAAAGATTTTTTCTCTCCTAGGATAACAGAATTCTGGATATTTGGGAAAAAATCTAGAAACTCTGTTTCAGTATATGAATAATTGAATAATTAGTTCATTTCCTACCAGGATATTTTGGTTTCATAAAGACCACGAAGATGGAAAAGCCAAATCTCTTTATGTCTCTGCACCAAAGTTAGGCAGTTCACTTTTAAAAGATTTTTTTAAAGCCACTCTTAATTTCAGGGAAGGAGAGAAATTTTAGGACCTCTATACTGAATTTTCTTTTGTGCTCTTTCATCTGGAATCCCGAAGTTTCTGGAGTATTGGCTCGAATTGGAGGTCATCTTAGAAGACAAGTTTTGGACATTTGCAAGTTCTTCTCTTTCAGCCGTTCAAAAGTGAAATGATGGCAGTATACTGCAGTTCTAGGGTGGTATATTTGGAGGTTTGAGGGATAATCTTGTATCAAAAGGGAGCTGGTGAAACTGTTTGGGCTCCCGTGGCCCTTGTCGCCATATGGAGCTCAGGGACTCTTGAGCCATTTCAGGAGCTGTGTCATATGGGGCAGTATGGGAAAGAGGAGGTGCTGCTAGGCATCATCATCTGGCCTGATTTAAAACTGGTCTCTAGGGACGCCTGGGCAGCTCAGTCAGTTAAGCATCTACCTTTGGCTCAGGTCATGATCCCAGAACTCTGGAATTGAGCCCCATGTCAGGCTCCTTGCTCAGCAGGGAGTCTACTTTTCCCTCTCCTTCCTCTGCTCCCCCTGCTTGTGCTCTCTCTCTCTCTCTGGGTGTCAAATAAATAATAGAATCTTAAGAAAAAAACACTGGTCTCTGTGTTGACCTATCTGAGTACTTTCTTACCCCATGGTGTCCATTTCTTACCTTTGCTTCTGTTTAAAAGTGTATTAAATAATAAGACTATATTGTTGAGGCATTTTGGGATATTTTAGAAAAAAAATTGATTTGTCCTTGACCTCTTCTCAGTATTCAAACTTTCTGAGAGAAGTGGGTTAAAGAGATCTCAGGAGGTAAACAGTGCTCCTTGGTTGTTGTGTTAGGGACAGGTAACATCTGCAGATTGTGCTGAATTAATGAGACTCTTTCCCCTTAACGCTGCCCTCCTGGGAAGGAATACAGTAGCTGGTTTGCAGTGCACAACTGCAGTACTTAATTTACCTTTTTAAAGCAGGAAAAGCAGAAAAGATCTAATGTATTGAAAACCACAGGAGGGTTGGAGGCAGTGAGAATGTAATTTCCCCAGTTGCAGTTTGGCCATTCCTAATCATATGAAAATTGCCAGAAAATCCTTAATGAGCACCAGTGGTTTAGAACTCTGAATTTCTCATGCCTCACAAGACTGAGCTTGCCTCAGCAGAGTCTGGACTGGGCCTGCCCAAGCTGCCCTTTGATTTTGATGACGACACCCACCTTGTGATGTTTCGAAAAGAAAATGGCTCTTGAGATTGGAAGAGTCAGCTGTAGTGAGGAATGATGAAGCTCTAACACCACATCTGGTTGTGTTATACTCACTTTAGAATCAATTCCCTGTTCCATGATTTACCGCAGGTAGGAGGGACTCTATCCAAACAATGATGGTGACTCCTGGCAGTTATTTGGCTTGTACAAGCTGATGGGGTCATGGACCGAAGAAATAGGGTGGTGAGCAAGTCAGGGCTTTCTAGTGGAGCGACTGAGCTAGCCAATCAAAATGGATATTTCATATGAGCTGGGCAAGTCTTGTGCATGTTGTATATTCCAAGATCTGTTTTTCTGAAGAATCAAATGACTTAAATTTCTATAAGAACTTTTTGACAACGGTGACTTTAGGCATACTTTAAAAAAGATTCTGTTTTCCAAAACGATTCTTACTTGACATCAGAAATTTGTCAGAAATGTTTTTTAGCATCCTCACCCTTTGAATGCTTTTATGCCTCTCCTTATTTATTCTTCCCTTATATCTTAGTTTTAACTACACTTTCCACTTTGAAGAAGCAAACTGGCAAGTTTCCTCCGCTTGTACTTATCATGAATAATCCTTAACATTGAAAAGTGTTTTTTTTTGTTGTTGTTTGGGTTTTTTTTGGTAATATGTATTTTACATAATAATAACGTGCGGGTTAGTGTTATCTTTTGAAACAGCAACTTTAAATGTGAAATGAATATAAAAGAATAGAACTTAAGAAAAACACCTTTAGAAAAGTTTTTTTTTTGAAATAATGAAATATTTTAAATCAGAATGTCAGTTTATTAATATTCATGGGAAATGGCTGTCAAACAGTCAGATCTTTGTTTCAGGGACCCTGAAATTAGAGAAGCAGATCACCAGTAGCCTAGAGCTCTGGTTCTGGGCCTGTGTGCCCTCACACACGTTCCTTGGCCTTCCCTTTTTCTTCTCTGTCTCACAGAGGAGCTGACTCCTGAAATCTGTATTCCTCAGATCAGTGAATGTTGAACCACACTTGCATCCCGGGGATAAATCCCACTTGGTCGTGGTGGATGAGCTTTTTAATGTATTGTTGGATCCTATTAGCTAGGATTTTGTTGAGGATTTTGGAATCCATATTCATCAGGGATATCAGTCTGATATTCTCCTTTTTGATGTGGTCTTTGCCTGGTTTGGGGATTAAGGTAATGCTGGCCTCATAGAATGAGTTTGGAAGTTTTCTTCCTGTTTCTATTTTTTGAAACAGCTTCAGTAGAATAGGTATTATTTATTCTTTGAATGTTTGGTAGAATTCGCAAATCAATCAATGTGATAGAACACATTAATAAGAGGAGAGAGAAGAACCATATGGTCCTCTCAATTGATGCAGAAAAAGCATTTGACAAAATACGGCACCCTTTCCTGGTTAAAACCCTTAAGAGTATAGGGATAGAGGGAACATTCCTCAAGTTCATAAAATCCGTCTATGAAAAACCCACAGCGAATATCATCCTCAATGGGGAAAAGCTGAGAGAGCCTTTCCCTTAAGATCAGGAACACGTCAAAGATGCCCACCCTCGCCACTATTGTTCAACATAGTACTAGAAGTCCTAGCAACAGCAATCAGACAACAAAAAGAAATAAAAGGTATTCAAATTGGCAAAGAAGAAGTCAAACTCTCTCTTTTCGCAGATGACATGATACTTTATGTGGAAAATCCAAAAGACTCCACCCCCAAATTACTAGAACTCATACAGCAATTCAGTAATGTGGCAGGATACAACATCAATGCACAGGAATCAGTTGCTTTCTTATACACTAACAATGCAACTGTAGAAAGAGAAATTAGAGAAATGATTCCATTTACAATAGCACCAAAAACCATAAGATACCTCGGAATAAACCTAACCAAAGACGTAAAGGATCTATACTCTAGGAACAACAGAACACTCATGAAAGAAATTGAAGAAGACACAAAAAGATGGAAAAATATCCCATGCTCATGGATCGGAAGAATAAACATTGTTAAAATGTCTATGCTACCCAGAGCAATCTATACCTTCAATGCCATCCCAATCAAAATTCCAATGACATTTTTCAAAGTGCTGGAACAAACAATCCTAAAATTTGTATGGAATCAGAAAAGACCCCAAATTGCCAAGGACATGTTGAAAAAGAAAAACAAAGCTGGGGGCATCACGTTGGCTGATTTCAAGCTATATTACAAAGCTGTGATCACCAAGACAGCATGGTACTGGCACAAAAACAGACATATAGACCAATGGAACAGAATAGAGAACCCAGATACGGACCCTGAACTCTATGGTCAAATAATCTTCAACAAAGCAGGAAAGAAAAAACATGCAATGGAAAAAAGACAGTCTCTTCAATAAATGGTCCTGGGAAAATTGGACAGCCACATGCAGAAGAATGAAACTCGACCATTCTCTAACACCATACACAAAGATAAACTCAAAATGGATGAAAGACCTCAATGTGAGACAGGAATCCATCAAAATCCTAGAGGAGAACATAGGCAGTAACCTCTTTGACATCGGCCACAGCAACTTCTTTCAAGATACATCTCCAAAAGCTAGAGAAACAAAAGTAAAAATGAACTTTTGGGATTTCATCAAGATAAAAAGCTTCTGCACAGCAAAGGAAGCAGTCAACAAAATAAAGAGGCAACCCACGGAATGGGAGAAGATATTTGCAGAGGATACTACAGATAAAGGGCTGGTATCCAAGATCTATAAAGAACTTCTCAAACTCAACACCCAAAAAACAAATAATCAAGTCAAAAAATGGGCAGAAGACATGAAAAGACACTTCTCCAAAGAAGACATACAAATGGCTAATAGACACATGAAAAAATGTTCATCATCATTAGCCATCAGGGAAATTCAAATCAAAACCACATTGAGATACCACCTTACACCGGTTAGAATGGCAAAAATGGACAGGGAAAGAAACGACAAATGTTGAAGAGGTTGTGGAGAAAGGGGAACCCTCTTACACTGTTGGTGGGAATGCAAGTTGGTACAGCCACTTTGGAAAACAGTGTGGAGGTGCCTCAAAAATTTAAAAATAAAGCTACCCTATGACCCAGCAATTGCACTATTGGGTATTTACCCCAAAGACACAGATGTAGTGAAAAGAAGGGCTATATGCACCCCAGCGTTCATAGCAGCAATGTCCACAACAGCCAAACTGTGGAAAGAGCCAAGATGCCCTTCAACAGACGAATGGATAAAGAAGATGTGGTCCATATATACAATGGAATATTACTCAGCTATCAGAAAGGATGAATACCCAACTTTTACATCAACATGGATGGGACTGAGGAGATGATGCTAAGTGAAATAAGTCAAGCAGAGAAAGTCAATTATCATATGGTTTCACTTATTTGTGGAACCTAAGGAATAGCTTGGAGGACATTAGGAGAAGGAAGGGAAAAATGAAGGGGGGGAATCA